GAATTGTGGAAAAAAAGAAACAGGCAACTGATCCCTGGATGAGCAAGGATGCAGTCCACGCCGTTGACGATACACAGTAAGAGGAGTAGAGTTATGGCAAACCGGAGATGTGCATGTCTTTGGAAGGGAAGGTGGATCAATGGGAACGATGGGAGCAGAAGAATCTGTTCGCTAGTGAAACCATGGAGGAGACGGGAGTCGCGAGGAGGAGGAATGCAACCAAGCACAGGAAGAGAGGGGGGGTGACTGGGTGATAGTTTGAAATACAGGACATGAGTGTCAGAGAGACTGTGATGTTCAGTGCACTTGAACTGCGGCAAAAGAAGCCATAGCAGCAAAAACTACATTAGTGAGAACTCCAGTTGCGGACATTGCTGCAGCAAAAGCTGCAACAGAGGAAACTGCAGCAATGGTGATTGTAGCACCGGAAACTGCAGCAGTTAGAACCGCAGCCGTAGAAACTGCAGCAGCGGCAAACCAGCAAGCCCAATCCAAGGGGCAGTCCCTACTTAGGATGCGGCTCCAAACGTCCAGAGATTAGAACATGACTTGTCTGAACTGTGTAGACCACATGAGTGATCTGCAAATAGCTAACCAGCATCATTTGGCTGAACAGGGAATTTGTGCCCCAGAGGGCGTCGACCATATGAATGACCTTGAAACACCATCTGGGTGGTCCGCAAATTGTTGGCGAGCATTCGGCACTCCAGCCTGAGTTCCCCTCCAATCTCCGTCGTATGGCGGCAACCAATATCTCTCCGCAGATTCTCCACTGCCTGCTTATACAGCATCAAACTTTCTTGCAATTGCCCTTCAGCTTCAGCTTGATGTCGATCTACCCTGCCCACAGGTAGAGGATTGTAATTATCCTAGGGAATGAGGTTTCACAATTGCGGTCCTACAAGTAGCAACAAGGGACCGACAACTAGAACTACGCAACGCTCAGGCAGGTGAGTGGTTTCATCCTCCGTACCACATCTCTGCCTGCATTATACACAGACCTCGCCAGTACATGACCATCTTACATGCCGCTGACCACCGTGGGCTGTGGGACAACGCCACCATGGTCCATGTCATGACTGATGTTACTGATTTCTTGCATAATGATACTGTTTCCTTGCCACGCCAACCATCCTCACTCCCTTTTATGCAGAGGAAGATCAATAGCAAGATAATGTATCAACACTCTGCTGCCTTCTCCTTTGCACAGCTACAAACACTGTTACACTGGGATGCAGATGTCATCCTCTCTGTTGCAATCACTACGATGACCTGGTTTCTGCATCCATGTGTGCAGAGGACTGTCCCTCCTTTCCTGACTGCAGGCACCCTCCGAATCGGGACACTATATGTCCACTTTGTGGCCATAGGCGTAATACTGAATGTATGGTCTTTTGTGGCGCCCATTCTACCTTCATGTTGGCCTGTAATCAACATGCCATTTATTGGGAGTGTTTGATGGGCATCTTCTGACGTGGCAATTGTTGTACCGAGAATGATCAGTAGGTCTTCCTTGTCCTCGTCCATCTCATGCTTACAATGTATGTCCTCTCTGTTGTCAAGGACAGACTGATTGTTGAGCCCTCTGCTTATATTTCCCTGTGTTTCACCTTGATTCCACACTCCTAAGCTTAACTTTCCCCTACTTTCTGTCTGCTTATCCTTTGCTTCCCATTTGTCTTCCTTTGCTTTGTCTTCTTTTCGTCTTCTCTCTCTGTTTATCCTGTTCCCCTTTGCTCTGCCGCTTTTTTCACAGCGTACAAGTGGCCTGTATGGCACATGGAGATACAGGTAGCTTGCACTCAACTTCATCAACATGGCAACGGGAGAGGCACAGTTAAGGGGAAGCTAAACGAAAAACGATCAAAAACTTAAAAAAGATTCAAAAGAATGATTTCAGTGTGTTCTTCATGTTTGTCTTGTATATTTTTGTTGTTTGTTCCACAAGGGGTACTCTTATAGTTCATAGATATGTGACAATATATGCTATGATGGTATATATATATCGTCAAACAGAACTGCCCGGTAAACCGTAGGCAGAGAGGGAGAAGAGGACAACAAACGAGGGGCTGTGACAAACTGTTTCATCGGAGTTTCACCGACTCATCACGAGGTAATATATATATATATATCGTCACAAACAGAACTGCCCGGTAAAGCCGTAGGCAGAGAGAGAGAAGAGGACAACAAACGAGGGGCTGTGGCATGGCTCATGCGAATCCTCTAGAAGCTAGGGGAATTAGTACTAAATGGTCAGTAGAATTTACTTTTGCTCAAATTCATGGATTTTATATATATATATATATATCGTCAAACAGAACTTCTCGGTGAACCGACGACCACAAATGAGGGGCTGTGACAGACTGTTTCGTTGGAGTTTCACCGACTCATCACGAGGCAAATATATAACCGAGTATCTGATAAAATTATACTTTTTCCAAAAGGTAACAACTAAATAGCTTAATATGACTGGAGTTACTACTATGTTGTGAAACAGAACTGGCTGGTAAACTGTAGGCAGAGAGGGAGAAGAGTACAACAAATGAGGGGCTGTGACGAATTGTTTTGTCGAAGTTTCACAGGCTCGTTCGGAGGCTATATATATTGTCACATAACTATGAACTAAACGAGCGCACTTTGCGAAACAAGCGGTAAAGACAAAAAAACAAAACAAAGATGAGGGGCACACTGAAACTATTCATTTTTCTCATTCTTTTTTTTAACTCCCCCTTCAGCGTGCCCCTCACGTACAAGGCTCGCCGCGATGATGAAGTTGAGCGTGAGCTGCCCGCATCCCCGGGTGCCATAACGGCCCACTTGTACGCTGTGAGAAAGAGGCAGAGTAAAGGGGGAGGTGATAAACACAAGGATGAGAGATGAAGACAAGAGAAACAAAGAACGAAAAAGGGAAAGTAAGGATTAAAAAAAAGGCCAAAAGATGAGTCTGTCCTTGACGACAGAGAGGACACAGATTGTAAGGATGAGGTGGATGGGCACAAGGAAGACCTAGCTGAGCATTCTCAGCACAACAATTGCCACGACGGCTGGCATTGAGCATGCCCAACATACACCACTCCCGACAAATGGCATGTCGATTGCAGGCCAAAACGAAGGAAGAACGCTCACCACAAAAGACCATGCGTTCAGTATAGCGCCCATGACCGCAAAATTGACATATAGCGACCGGATGCGGAGGGTCCCTGCAGTCAGGAACAGAGGGACAATCCTCTACACACATAGATGCAGAAACCATGTCATTATAGTGATTATGACAGAGATGATGGCGACTACAGCCGAGTGTAACAGTGTCTGTAGCAGTGCAAAGGAGAAGGTCGCAGAGTGTTGGTACACTGTCGTGCTGCAGAACGGGCCCAGAGGAATGATCTTTGACATAAAAGAGATTGCGGACAGTTTCGTGTGGCAAGAAAACAGCATTGTTATGTAAGAAATCAATAACATCCCTCATGGCATGGAGCATGCCATTGTCCCAGATAGACATATCTTGTTTCGTCTAACAGAACTGCCCACTAAAGGGAGAAGAAGACAACAAACAACGGACTATTACAGACTGTTTCATCGGAGTTTCACCGACTCATCAGGAGGCTGAACCCTCTACAGTCTGCTGTCCCCTAACCAATGATAAGTGATAATCCACCATAACCACGGTGAACAAGACAAATAGACAGATAGACAGATAGACAGATCGACAGATCGACAGACAGATAGACATATAGACAGATCGACAGACAGATAGACGGATAGATAGATAGATAGATAGATAGACAGATAGATAGATAGATAGATAGATAGATAGATAGATAGATAGACAAATAGATTTGTGCAACTTGTCCAACGTCGCAACGTAGATTTGGAATTTTCTGTTCATAAGGGGCACAAGGTAGGAAAGTCATCGTGATAGAAAATTGAAAAAAAAAAATAAAAAAATTTGAAAATTGAAAATCAGTATAAGTGAACTGTGTACAACTTGTAGGACTTGATTCCTCCTCCTTTCATGAATCAGCAAAATCAAAATCCTCTTTCTCAGGAGTCAGAAAAGTCAACTGCTACTTACTGCCTGATTAACGATCATTTATTTCCAACTTCCGTCCAATTTGTTCAGCTGTGAAACTAAGTATATGTCTCTAAGTGTTTATTTAATGAACTTGCCAGCTTGTGCTCCAGGTAATGAATTCAACTAAATGCTCACCTGTGGTCAGTTAAATTTCAGTAAAAAACTAACAGATTGCTGACCTACAGTTATTAGCTGCTAGCCTGCTGCTGTAAAAAAAACTAACTGCCTTCTTTCTTACCTCTGTGGCTAGTTAGTTCTTTTATTAGCTGCTGCAGTAGAAAAGTCAACGAACAGACTGCTGACCTTCAGTTTGTTTTGCAAAACTGCCCCTCTCCGCCTGGAGAAATATTGCTATTGTAATGGCCACAAGCTAAGGCGCGCCCCTTAACTGGATGAAATCAATCACCTTACCGCTCAACTGCAGTTAAACCACCAGTACCTACCGGTTGTACTGGCGCATTCTCCTCCCCGCGACTTCCGGAGGTCCGCGCCGCAACGCCAGCCGTAGATTAAAAATCTGAACGGCAGCAGAGACCCCGAAAGTCGCCGCGCGTTAATGTCAACGCCCCGCGGCAGAGACCCCGCAAGTCGCGGCGCGTTAATGTCAACGCCCCGCGCCTGCACACTGGTAGAGGTACTGGTGGTTTAAGCTCAGCCAATCTCTCTTTCTGGCCGCCTCCTACCTTCTTTCCCCCGAATACAATGTACGGTCATTATAGCTGTATTTGGGGGTAACTCCAGTCCAGATACAGCAATAATGATCCTACGTTGTATTCGGGTGAAGAAGGTAGGAAAATTGCTTCTTTCCAGCCCAGTGAGCCCGGAGCTTCCTCACAAAACTGCTCCTCTCCACCTGAAAAAAATGTTGCTATTGTAACGGCCGCAAGCTAAGGTGCGCCTCAAGCCGATGAAATCAATCACCTTACCGCTCAACGGCAGTTAAGCTTAGCCAATCTCTTTCTGGCCGCCTCCTACCTTCTTCCCCCGAATACAATGTACGGTCATTCTAGTTCCAGTGCAGATACAGCAATAATGATCATAGTATCATCATATGCTGTATTCGGGTGAAGGTAGCAAAATTGCTTCTTTCCACCCCAGTCGGCCCGGAGCTTGTGCGCAAAACTGCTGCTCTCCACCTGAAAAAAATATTGCTATTGTAATTGCCACAAGCAAGGTGAGCCTCAAGCTGAGGAATCCATCACCCCAACTGCAGTTACACTTAGCCAATTTCTTTCTGATCCTCCCCCTAGCAAAATTGCTCCTTTCCAGTCAGCTTGGTGCTGCTTCCCAGTCGTTTACCCATGACCAGTCTCTAGATAGGCACTCTCTACTCTCTGAATGTGGCTGATGCCTTATCGGCTAGCAGCCTGACAAGATTCTTCAACAGTCCAAAAATAGGATGATGATGGACACTTCACTCTGCCCCCTCCATGCGTCTTCCTGGTTACACTTTCCCGCCCTGTGTCACCACATACACAGCAAGCTCATGCATACGGTCCCATGCCTGGAGCGACTCAAACTGCTTGCCCGCGCCCAGACGAATGAGGAGGTACTGTACTACTGTGAACTGATAATGCCAGGCAGGTGGACATGCAGGAAAAACAAATGCTCATTCCGTTTTGATTCGATCTCTCGATCTTGGTTTTTCATATTCTCACAGTCTTTCAAGACTGTTTCACAGAAGTCTCCACGGTAAAGGCACCAGCCGAACCCGCTTCCCTCACTCCAGTGCCTGTAAACGTAACGTCAGCCCCTGCTTGTACCGAGTGAGTGTAATTGAGGATAATATCGGAATCAGAAGTCCTATAGATTGCTAAGCATTGCCAATGACATCAAATCTTTAATAAAAGACCCTTTGGACACGCGTAATCAACTTCATCCCACACATTCCCTACCTGTTTTCTGCGTCGTCAGACTCGTCAGAATGAAGGCACTCCGACGGCCATGAATTGATACCATGACCATTCTTTGCTTGCCAAATGAGCTCCGGGACTTACGCTCAAATGCCTTTCCATGTGTTAACACCGACGTCGTCTTTACCCCCACCGATGTCTTCACCCCCCCAAATTTCTTCGCGCCTTTATAACACGAGGCCTACCGACCCCCTACCCGATGCGAAAACAGCAGATCGTTCCTTGCTTGCCAAATGAGCTCAGAGCCCCCTCTGGTGTCTTTACCCCTGAGTCCTTCTGTTACCCCCCTCCGGCGTCTTTACCCCTGAGTCCTTCTGTTACCCCCCTCCAGCGTCTTTACCCCTGAGTCCTTCAAGCCTCTGTAACATGACGCCTACCTGCTGCCGAGCAGCTGAACACACAGACCCAGCAACAGATACCCGTAGCTGAATGCCGTCCCGACGTAGAAAAAAAATGTCGAAGGGTGCTCTTTTGGGTGGACTGGCCATCAAGAATACTGGACCGCTGTCTCACATGCCACCAAGAACAATGGTTGAAATGACTAAGTGTCAAGACTACCGTCCAATTGTAGAAGGGTGCTCTCCTTTCAGTGGCCTGGCTTCAAGAATACCTCTTACCGAAGTCTCACATGCCATCGAGAACAAGGGTGGAAATTCTGGGCGGCATCATCATCTCGCAGCTTGCTGGACAGCGCCGATCAGATCTTATACAAGAAGACACTCAAATGCCCATAAAAGTAAAATTAATCGCATCCCTCGCACACTTGGTTTGCTCATCTCATCATTGGAATGAAAATAAAGCACTCTCGATTGTGCCTCTGCACTAATCCCAGCCCCTCTGCTAAGTGAGTTTCATGCATCAGGAAAGGAGAATACCTGAATCGCAGTCCTAACCACGACTGCTGGAAATCTTGAATTAAGTTCAATTAACTGACAAGACGGCTACCGTGACCGCAAAAGAAAAGGAGTGTTGCTTGGTATCCAACAGCACCACTACCTACTCATTGTTGTAAAAGGCGTCTCGTCCTCTCATCCTCGTCCTTGTCCTCATCCTCATCCTCATCCTCGTCCTCGTCCTCGTCCTCGTCTTCGTCTTCGTCCTCATCCTCGTCCTCATTCTCGTCCTCGTCCTCGTCCTCGTCCTCGTCCTTGTCTTCGTCCTCGTATTGATCCTCGTCCTCATCCTCGTGCTCGCCATTACTTTTTATTCTTCACCTTCGCACCCAAAAACAGCTTAAGCCGTATGGCTGGCCGATTGCTCACCCAGAGAGAGGTAAAGATTCGAATGATTTGATGCTTGCTTTGCTGTTGTCAACCGTTCCATTGGAATTAGTTAAATGATTCTGACTGCAATTACTACGGGCCCTGGATGAATCTGACGGCAATCACGTCCAGAGCTTAGTAGGTGAAGAATCGAAAGGTTCCGAACAAATGTTACTAACCCCAAAATTACCCCGCTTTATGTACAATTCGCCACACCATACAATACAAGGCTTCCTTCGCATTGCAATCAATTGAATTTTCTGTGCTGTACCTACCGTTCAAAGTTCAAAGTCCAAAGTTAAAATTTCAAACCCGTTCAGTCGTCCAGAACATATCCGCCAAATACTCAGACAAAGCAGTCCTTCAAGGACCACAGAAGAAACTTTACGTAGGCATCCGTCTCGAGGAATTCAATGTGTGCTGCTCGACCAATCAGCGTGCTGAGGGAACGGGGCGTTGAAGAGGTGTTGAAGTTCACATCAACCCGCCATAAAGTCCTCCCTTCCATGGCATCACCGGCACGAGTTCCGCCCTGTACGAGAGGGCCTAGACAACCTTGCAGCATTGCCGTATACGCACCACCTTTCTTTGAGTCCTTCATTGCCGCAGGACACATCTCAATCCTCGCCGAATGATAGGGAACGTATCGATCCTGACGATGGCAGCAGGCACGCATCCGGTCAAACATCCAGTCCAGGTCCTCAGTAGGTTGCATGACATTTTATGATTGCTAAGTTTTGATGACACACAGGAACCCCACCATCAGCGGGCATTTCCCTTTCTTTCGTTTTTTTTTTTCTGTCTTCTTTTGAGCTCGTCATTTCTCCCAGCTAAAACAGGTCAGGAAACACCTTCCCAGTCCACATCCGAACCTCCGTCCAGGACCGAGTCCCACTAGCGTAGAAAATAAATAAATAAATAAATAAACAAATAAATAAATAAATAAATAATTTATTTCCCTGTGCTACCAGCCGGGAGGCCCGGGCTGCCTCAGATTGGCCCGGGTGGCCCGGCCGGGACAGGTCCGGGCAAAGTCCCACTCAAGATTCGGGCAGTCCCCGCACACACAAAATAAAAACTGAAAAAAATTTATGTCATGCAGAATTGCAAACCAAACATCTTTTACCTGAGGGTGACCTCAAAATTCGCTATGGAATCCGAAATAAAAAATAAAAATAAAATACTAAATTATATCATAGTATCATACCCCTTTGCGCCCCTTCCAGCCCTTTCGAACTCCGCTTATACCCCATACACACCCTTTGGTAAGATATCACCAGACTCAAGTCTCGGGTGCATCCTTCTTCGGTATACTTTTCCGTGTGCTTCCACGCCTAACCCAAGAGACTTGCCTTTGTTTGTCAAAAATAGAGGTATGTTCGCTTCGCGCCTGGTCGTTACTTTTATTTCGTTTTTTTGCAATCTTTATTATCTAAAGAAAAGACCGGATTTGGGCACATCTCAGCGGGCACAAAATTGGCCCCACTGCAAAAAAAAAAAAAAAAAAAAAAAAACAAAAAAAAAAACAAAAAAAAAAACAGAGAAAAACTTGACCCCCTTTTCGGTGTTGCCCGGGCGGGTCAACCCCCATGCAGGAAAAAAAAAAAAGATGAAAAGGGCGCAGAGCCACCGGAAGAAGAGGAGAACGAAGACGAAGAAGAGGAGGAAGAGGAGGCCGACAAAGAGGAGGAAGAGGGAGAAGAGGAGGAAGAAGCAGAGGAGGAAGCAGAGGAAGAGGAAGACGAGGAGAAAGTTCTTCGAAGCTGACGTGGAAGAAGAGGACGCAGGCAGAGCCCGTGGAAGAAGAGGAGGAAGAGGAGGCTGAAGAGGAGAATGACGAGCAGGGAGGGGGAAGAGGAGGCTCAAGATGAGGAGGAGGAAGCGGAGGAAGAAAAAGAGGAAGAGGAGGAAGAGAGAGGATGACGAGGAGGGATGGGGAAGAGGAGAGGAAGAGGAAGAGGAAGAGGAAGAGGAAGCGGAAGAGGAAGAGGAAGAAGAGGAGGAAGAGGGAGGAACAAGAGGAGGAAGCAGAGGAAGAGACGAAGAAAGAAGAGGAGGAAGAAGAGATAGAAGACGAGGCTGTGGAAGAGTGCGAAGAATAGGTGGACAAAAATAACGAGGAAGAAGGAAAGGAGGAAGAGGGAAAGAAGGAGGGCAGCTTACCTGTTGATGGCTGAAGGGAGCGGGTGAGTGGCAATTCAAGCCACTTCGAAGTTCGAAGTACTCCAACTTCGAGCATCAAAGTGGAGATCACACGCACGGGGTGGGTGGCAAGTGGCGCCAGCGGAGACAATTCATATGGTCGATCTGGGTCGTACAATTGCCAAAACCTGGGCCCAGATTGGCTCATGTTGTTTTTGTCCATGCAAGCACAGGGCTACCCGTGAAAACATCTGGGCCCGGCCTCGGTGACCTCAATGGATGTCTGGGGGGCAGAAATGACGAAAACTGGGCCCGCAGTGGTTTTGCTCTGGGCCTCTGAAAGGTTAACCGGCCTGTCTCTCCATACAGACAATATGAACAATCTCCCGGGGCTCAGACATCCGGGCCGGTAGCCTAGCAAATATTTGAAAATTTGAAATAAACAAATACCTTGAAATCAGTACATAAAAATTAACCATTAATTAGGACAATTAATATCCATAGAAATCTGCTCACGCTTACCTGAGGAGAGGCCAAGAATAACACATTCCTGAAGTACCCAAATGTCTTCGTCTGGTATACAGATGCAGCAGAGGCAGCAGAGCAAAAAATGATCATTACAGATCACAAGACCACCACCACCACAACATCAAGGATTCCTCATCAGCTCATCGGTAAAAAAATAAAAATCCGTCCACATAGCATTTTGTAATTTTGCATTTATACCCCCATCTTGTGTGGAGAACTGCAGAATGGCAGTGCTGGTGGTGACGAGTCAAAGTTGCCCTTCTTTCCCACGCCTCTCTCGTCCTCCACCATACACACACACACAAAAAAAAAAAACCACCGAAAAATGAAAACGGAAAGAAAACATGAGGACCCCCGGCCATAAGGACCTGTTTAATTARAAAAAAAAAAAAAAAAAAGAGGACAACCAACTGGCCTAGCTCCGTTGGTCTAAACACCCCTGTACTGTTGAAAACTTGAAAACTTGCAATACAGACCTGAGTTCAAAGTTCAAACTTCAAATCCCACTGGAAGCAGACGAGTGGAATACTACAATTCTGAAGGAAAGAAAAAGAAAACATGAGGAGGACGAGATGTAATGTGTGACACAGCAGAAGAGTCCGACCAGATAGCACACGTGGGAATCATAGGACTGACCTGACAATGCAGCAAAAAATGACACACTGGCGGGGAGAGGTCTGGAAACAGATGAAACCTCCCGCTGGAATCATACATAGACAGCAGCAGCTGCGGCCACAGCAGCGGTGGCAGAGCCTTGGTGTCTCCGTCTGAGTTCATCAGGATTGGAATCTGACCGCAATGACGGTACCATTATTGTCTCCGTCCGAGTGCAGCGGGATTTGAACTCATGATCTGTTTATCAACAGCAACATGTGTATACCGTCGATCCACATGGCTGCGGTGCTTCCCTTTCGCCCTCATTTCGAAATTCGAAATCATTGGACAATTTGCCTAGGCTGTTTTCCCGGGCGCCCAGGCACCCAACTTGTGCCCGGGTACACGCCCAGGTGCCCGGCCAGGCATGACCCCCGGGCAGGCAGGCCCCAGCGCAAAAAAAGAAAAAACACAAAAATCCGGAAAAAAAAAATGTTGTGTAGAATTGCATACAAACTTACAAAGTTTACAAACAACTTTTGGTTGAGGGTCACATCAGAATTCCTCACGGAACTGGAAGATAAAAAAGAAAACTACCGAATCACACTAAGGCACCCTTCTTTAGACCCCTATAGCCCCCCCCCCCTTGAGCCATGCTAATCTGTCTCAGACAGCGCGGAAAACCCCCACCGCCATTTATTTTTTTTTCCCCATGCCTGGGTATCCCGGGCGTCACGCCCGGGTGACCGGCCGGTCATGAAAATCTTCCTAGCAATTTGCAAGATAATACACCGGATCATCATCAACTGTGTCCTCTGGGACATCTTCCTAGCAATTTGATCATGAAAATCTTCCTAGCAATTTGCAACTCTAATTTGAGCGACGACACACCTGAAGATAGATTAGCATGGCTCCTGCCCAAGGACGATAACCCACCCGACAAACAAAACAAAAAAGAACGAAAAATATATACATAGATATAGTCAAACAGAGCTGCACGGTAAAATATGTATATATATGTGTGTATCCTCACTGCATGCAGAGCTTGGCATCAACCTCTCCCCCTCTTTTTTTTTCCTTTTCACTCTTTTGCCACGGACAATGCGGACATGCTATTCCTCGTGGCCTCCGGAGAGGTGATTCAATGGTGAACGACAGTCTTCGCCCGAATAAAACACCTGGTCATTGTCACTGTATCCAGACAGAAAGTTGCTCCAAATACATCTATAATTACCTGGAGTTATATTTTGGGTCAAGTCCATAGCACAACTCGCTTGTTGCGAAATGAAACATACCTGACTGAGATGGTAAAGATAACAGTCCTTCATTGCTGGTTGATCGGTGAAAGTGAGCTGATGCATGCACGGCGAGCCTTTGAACTTCTTCAGCAGCCAAAGCCCAGAGTTAAAAATAGAGTTGGAGCTGTACATATAGCCCAAGTGCGGACCCGAAATTGACAAGAGCGTAAAAAGGTGGCTAAGATACGGTTGCATCGCAGCCTCTGCGCACACACATCACCGGCAACCAGAGAAAGTTTCGAAAACCGAAGAAGTTTAACTTGTTTCAGTAATCGTTTTTTTTTTTTTTTTTTTTTTTTAATTTTATTTTAAGAACTGGTTTGTTCTGTTCATCTGAGTGCATTTCTGGATTGGAAAGTGGGTCTGTATTTTAACTGTTCGTCGGTGTACCGACTGAGCTAGGCTCGTTGGTAGTTGTTGTTGTTGTTGTTGTTGTTGTTGTTGTTGTTGTTGTTGTTGTTTTCGTTGGGAGTTTTGGTAACCTTGTACTCAACACCATCCTGCAAAAAATAGGACAGACAGACTCTATATATTCGAAATTTTAAAATTTTAATTATTTTATCTCAAACTCGGGTCTGTAATTCAGCAGGTGAAGGGTGTACCAACAGACTCTATTCAATTTGTCCATCATTTAATTCTAGTGATGACTAAAATTAACTCAACTAACTCCTAGCGGGCCGCCCGGAGTGCCTTGTTTTTCCGGGCGGCCTGGCCGTGCAAGGACCAGGGAAGGCCGCAGCCAAAAATTAAAAAAAAATAAATCCCGAAACAAAACTCTGTTATGCAGAAACAACGTTTGCCTCCGGCCGTGCAAGGACCAGGGAAGGGACTAGCAAAAAAAAAAAGAAAAAGAAAAGAACACAGAAATCAAGAAAATCCGGAAAAAACCTATGTCATGCAGAAAAATAAACTGAACAACTTTTGCCTCAGGGTCACATCGAAATTCTTTACCAAATTTTAAATAAAAAATAAAGTTAAAACCTAGGCTATCAGCCGGGCTGCCCGGGGCCCGGGTGGCCAGCCCGTGCAAGGACCAGGGAAGGTCCCAGCAAAAAAAAAAAGAAAAAAAGAAAAAACCGAAAAAAAAACTATGTTATGCAGAAAAATAAACTGAACAACTTTTGCCTCAGGGTCACATCGAAATTCTTCACCAAATTTAGAATAAAAAATGAAATTTAAATATATATTTTTAATTTTAAAAATTTTAATATTATTTTATTTTTAAAATTCTTTTTGGCCCGGCCGGGCAAGTGACCCCGGGCCACTCTGGTAGCCTAGGTTAAAACATAATTTTTATTTTTTTATTTTTTATTGGCCCGGTCGGGCAAGTGGTCCTGCGCCACTCCGGTAGCCTAGATCAACTCTATCTAATATGATTTATTTAATTTTATTATAATATGATTAATTCATCAAACCATTCTTAGGATTATATGAACAATACAATCCACACTCATGTCCATAATCATGCTCAGACTCATGTTTCAAAGGGACTGTGGACCCGGTTTCCAGCAGGTGAAGCTCCCCACCAATAGATGGAGCGGCCGGCAATGGACTTACTAGGGGCAGGCACTCTTATCATCACCCCCACCACTAGCAGGCCCCAGTGGATTCGTTTAAAAAAAAAAACAGAAAAAACAAGGATTCTATGAACAACCTGCGACTACCATACCATACCATCACCTTAAACAAAAAAAAAAAAAAAAAAAAAAAAAAAACAGAAAGGAAGAAAGAGAGAAAGAAAGATGCGTCGATAACTCACTCAACAGGTGCCGCCGATCAAGCCGGAAAGGAGGGCTAGGAACTTGTCAGGATCTGGTTAGAAAAGCCAGCCGGAAATTCTAAGGACGTACTTGACCGCAAGAAGCTGCTAGATTCAGTCAAACCACTTCTTTTTTTTCATCCTTAACTGTGACTAGCCATGGTTGGAACCGCTGGACTTACAGATCTTTTGACTCTCTGCCCAAGGTTTGGAAAGCGGAAAACCTCCCCTGGCCACTCCATGGCGAGATCCCAACACCGCGATCCGCAGATCCAGGGTTCGAACCTTGATAAAAAAGAGATCGCCACCCCGTTTTCAGCACTCCATTCTCTCAACTATTTATCGATCAGTCATTTCACTGTAAATCTCCTTAGTAATGCAGCTTCACTACATACGAAAGCCAGGACTCGTGTGAATGAATCTGACCGCGATTATGGCCACATTCCCATCTAATATTCATCGTGCGAGACATAGCAGCACGGATGGACTGCAATCCGTGATTATAGTGTCTAGAGCTCCTGATAAGGTCTGCGCCTTGTGATGACCCTTCTACATATGTATCACATATAGGGGTATCTGTGGGCCTACAGGCATCCCAACAACGTAGGCCCACAGGTACCCCATAGTCAGAATAGCACCCCTCCTAAAAGGGGGTGTTGATGGCTATAGGAAGTAGGCCAGCCACAGCCTAAGTGTAGTGCAGGGGGTGTTTCTCAGCGACGGCATAGAATCCTTAGAAAAACCTTATAACATTTACAGTTAAGTTAGTTAACCAACATTTACAGTTAACCAACATTTACAGTTAACCAATATTTACAGTTAACCAACATTTGCAGTTAAAGTTGTTAAACAACATTTACAGTTAAACAACATATTCACAGCAGAGTATGGCAGGCCTGGGGTGTCCTTCAGAACTTTGGTGAAGTTCAGAAAACACATGCGAATGCAGAAAGAATCGAAATTAAAATTGCAAATCCGCTCAGTTCAACGAAAGAAGAAATGCAAGCATACTGTCCCTATCCTGTGGCGGACTGGTACACACACAGCGGTTATTAAACAGAGCATGAGTTCAAAGCCTGATCCACAGTCATGTGACTGACGTGATCTAAAGATTCTAAAGAGGATATCCCAAGCATTTTCAGCGGTGCACCCACAATAAATAGATGGATGGAAGATGGGTGGTAGGAAGGAAAGGAGAAAGGTGGGAGGGAGGGAGGAAGGGAGCGAGGAAGGGAG